TTCTTCACAGGGTAACAGATGGTCGTCGGTCCCCCCCACCCCCCACCAACCGTCCTAGGAGATGTGTGATAACCACTAATTTTAATAATAATACCTCAAACTGTTAGATAATTGATTGTTGGATTCCTTGTAAGACTAGAATATTTTGAATATAAATGTCATATTTTGCACAAAGATAACATAGTTAATTTGGAGAAAATTTTATTCAAAATTTGTATGTCTAATGCAAAATATGATGTTTATATTCAAATGATCACCAAATTATAAGAATTCCAGCAATGTAAATTATATTCTGGCGGGTAATTTGTATAATTTTATGAGCTAAAACAGGCAGTCAGTAAATCCAAAAATACTGAGCCGACATCATCAAGATATGTGGGATCTTGTTATGAAATTAGCTTGGCGAGGCACCGTATATATAAAACTGTTAAGGAAATCAAGTAGGGCGGGGTAATACTATATATATATATATATATATATATATATATATATATATATATATATACAGTAATACCCCGCTTAACACGGTTTCGCTTAGCGCGATTTCACGTATACCCGGTGCCTCGCCAGAGCCGAACTTTCACTTAACGCGGGTTTTTTCCACGTATACTCGCAGAGTGTCTGGCTCGAGATGCTATTTTTAGATTCGCCCCACCCGCCTGCCTGCCTGTTTTAGCTCATAAAATTCATACAAATTACCCGGCCAGAATATAATTTACATTGCTGGAATTCTTACAATATGATGATCATTTTGAATATAAACATCATAGATTTTGCATTAGACATACAAATTTTAGATATAATGTTTACTCTGAGTAAATATGTTATTTTTTGTGCAAAATATATGACATTTGTATTCAAAATATTCCTGGTCTTACAAGGAATCCAGCAATGTCAATTATATTATCCTAACTTTAGTTTGAGGTATTATTTATTACTAAAAGGGTAAATATTCTGGTTTTCCCACACATCTGGTAGGGAGGGTTGGTGGGGGGTGGGAGGGACCGACCGACCATCTGTTACGGTGTGAAGAATATTTTTTTTTTTTTATTAACTGAAGATATTTGTTTTAGCTCATAAAATTCATACAAATTACCCGGTCAGAATATAATTTACATTGCTGGAATTCTTACAATTTGATGATCATTTTGAATATAAACATCATAGATTTTGCATTAGACATACAAATTTTAGATATAATGTTTACTCTGAGTAAATATGTTATCTTTTGTGCAAAATATATGACATTTATATTCAAAATATTCCTGGTCTTACAAGGAATCCAGCAATGTCAATTATATTATCCTAACTTTAGTTTGAGGTATTATTTATTAAAATTTAGTGGTTTTCCCCCCAAAATTTCTCAGAGAGGGAAGAGCCAGGAGTGTAGTGTGAGAAGAGGGGGAGGGAGTTGAGTCCATTATTTGAATGGACATTAACTTGGCGACTGTATTTCTCTATTTCTCTTAAGTATTAATTATGTGCATGTACCATCATAAAATTAAGATTTTTTTTACTAGAACATAGGTATTGTGTCGGAAAAAGTAGAGTTTGGGGGTCCGGCCAGTCTCTATTGGAATTAATCCCATATGTTCTGTTGTTCACTTAACGGGGTTTTCACTTAACACGGTACCCTGTGGGTTCAATTGACCGCGTTAAGCGGGGTACTACTGTATATATATATATATATATATATATGGGGATAAAAAAAAACGTTTAGAGAACGGGACGTAGCGGACGTAAGTGGCCTTAGAGCAGGTGCGCTTACGCATGCATCATCATGCATTCTTAAACAAAATAGATTGTCCTGCCAGGCGTATGATGATACAGTACAGTAACTATATAGCCATAATATGTTTTGATATATATAAGAAATGCCTATGTTACTGGTTTATGTTTTTTGGCCATTGTAGTGTACAGTACAGTACTTTTAATTTGATTTCCTGACTTACGAAAGTAAAAGTTTACGCTGCAATATTCCACATACACGTAAGTATAAATACAAAGTTCACACTGTGATGTTCGTATAAAATATTTTTCACATTACGTATTTTCGAGTCCAGACGTTAGCGATCGCTCTGTGCACTAACAAAAATATCGTTTGTAATTCCCTTTAAAATGGCTGGCAAGCGTAAAAGTGAGAGTTCTCGTGGTGCTGAGAAGAAAAAGAGACACCCATTTTAGAATTTTTATGTATTATTTTCGCCTTTTTGACTTACAACCTGGTCGTCAGGACGGTACCCCGCCGTAAGTCGAGGAGAGACTGTATAGTGATTTAAGGGCGATTTAGGGGATTTTTATGAGTGTTTCTGACTTTACGCGGTTTTTGACTTTACGTGGGGTCCCAGGAATGTAAACCCCACGTAAGTTGCGAGTCTACTGTATACAAAGTACTTTACACTTACTTTTAGTTCACTGACAAGGTCTTAGGCTTAACCTTCTCACCACCTTTACAGATACCAAACACTTTCTTAGGAGCCATGGTTACTGTTTAATTTTTTAATAATAATGAAAAAAATATGAATGCTACTTTAGCCTATGGTGAATGTACTAAAATTATAAAGACGATGATATAAAAAATACAGTACCGTATCTTATGGCAGTCAGTATTTAGGAAAAACTTTTGTGTAACTTTCCTCCTGTAGCCATAGTTTTCTTAAAATAATATAAACAATACCTGTACCAGGAAATGTGAGGAATAAAAAAAATAATACCCCAAAAACATACTGTATTGCCAAATCAGTAAAAAAAAGCCAAATGAAAGATTATCACAGTCACTATTTGCATGCGCTCCGTTTCACCACAGTAACGAAGATCAGCTGGCATTCTGATTCCCTAGCAATGCCCCCCCACACTCTGCAACTGCAGCACCATAACACCTCACCGCTTGGCCCAGTAGCCTGGTGGTTACAGTGATGAATTTAACCTGGCTACAATGCCATGATTAATCACTATTATGCATTATTATATTAGTGAACACTAATAACAGCAGTAAATCCAGTGAAATATGGCAGGGAGTGAGGAGACGAGTTACAAGAGCAGATGACATTCTAATTAGTGGTCACTCACTCCCGTTGCCAGGCGTACGATCGAAATACATAAGGATGATCGTTCTCTTAAAAATCTATTTATAGTGTATTAATTCTGGTCTCAATACCGTATATCACGGCCTATAAGGCGGCGGGGTGCATAAGACGCCCCCCCCAAATTTCCATTTAAAAAGTAGCTTTTGAGCTCTATTTGCTGTATAAGACCAGTACCCCAAATGTGACACTTACCCACTGACTCAGTAGTCCTTTACCAACCATCCTTGATTTTTTAAAATAAGGCCAATTCACTTCAAGTAATGTCATCAAATTATACCCGCTGGTGTAGTGTAAACACTAGTGACGTCACTGAAGCGTGGTGGGAGTGTTCCCTCGTCTCGGTGGTGTGACTATTTATACAACATGTGATTCAACAGCAACCACCGTATTCTAATTGTGGTGTTTCATTAGGATTTGAGTGAAAAAGGTTACCAGTATGTACTTACTACATACATTTATTACACAAATATATATATATATATATATATATATATATATATATATATATATATATATATATATATATATATATATATATATATATATATATATATATATATATATATATATATATATATATATACTGAATATACTATGTACAAAAAATGAATGTTCAATGAATTATTTATGGTGCATTAGGGTACTGGTCACTTCTGATGGGCTATAAATAGCTTTGTTATCTCCCCTCCATCTCACCCTGAGCCAGACGGAAGGGTCTTGGTAAATAACATGTTTGCTTATTTTCCATTTACTTTAAATAGATTTACCGAATTATTTGTTTTATTTATTTATTTATAATATACTGTAATATATTAAACACACTGTAATTATTTTCTTTAATTTATAAACTGTTTTGCGACAAAGGAATGTTCTCCAGTAGTGTTTCATTAGGATTTGAGTGAAAAAATATTACGTACTTACACAATTGTTCCTCTTACTTTGACAACACAACATACATACAGTATATTATTTCTCAGTTTTGATCTTTTTTTTTAATTTTTGTATTTATTTATAGTTAGTTACTTAAAATAAGGCCAATTCACTTCAAGTAATGGCATCAAATATTACCAGCTGGTGTAGTGTAAACACTAGTGACGTCACTTGAGCGTCTGTAATTAACCGTCGATAGTTTCAAGAATTAATGCACTCATTTACTGAATATTCTTTGTAAAAAAATAAAATTTAAATCAATTATTTATAGGAGATAAATATTATTATGAGTAAATATACCGATACCGGTATGCATTACTGACCACCTCCACGGCTAAAAATAGCCCAATCTCGGGTCACTTTCCCTTTCTTGTCTCCTCACTGGCAAATGGGGGGGGCGTGGGGAGGGGTGTGTGATGATAGCTGTGTTTATTACAGGGGTATAAATCTCTTTTACGGTATGTTAGACAGGTTTATAATACATTTTTATTATTTTAATATACCGGTAATCTTAATTTGAATCCAGCTTGCCAAACGTAAGTTTCAGTATAAAATAATTAGTGGTAAGACCTTGTGAGTGGCTTACGATGTTTTCATCACCACTCTTGACACACTAAACCACAATATTTAAGAGGTAAGAATTTTAAACTTGGTGGTTTAGACGACCCCCTAACTTTGGGCAGATTTTTTTAATGTTCAAATTTCGTCTTATAGGCCGTGATATACGGTATTCTTACAGTTTTTTCATGCTGTTATTCTGGCAAAAGTTTTAAAAGGAAGGTTACATTTACAAGCTATAAACATTTATGGACCACAAGTCAATGCCACAATGCCACACACCTGTACATGTACTGCCAAATGCCCTAAAGATTATGGCAACAATTATACATAAAATACAATACAATAATTTTCAATAAAGCTTCCAAAACTAAACAAATGTTCTCTAAATCACTACCATTTATGTTAACTGTAAAGTTGACTCACCTCTGGTAAGGATCTAAATAAAATGATGAGAGATAGTCTCCTGAGTTGTCTAAGATGTTGAAGAAGCGAACATCTGGGTGCCACTTGGATACTTGATCACCAGGTATCTCCTCAAAGGAAATGCCAAAGAGTTCTGAGCACAATTCCAAAAGGCTGACAAAGACATGCTCAAAGGGGAAATACTCCTGAAGATGCATTTCATCATAGCTGAAAATATTTTATATATGTATGAATTTTTTTATACAACTCTATAAATAAATATACAGTAGAGCATATAAGCTTATGTTCTGCACAGTTGCCTTTGCATTACAAAAATATATATCAAACAATAGCATATATACTCAACATGGACCATGCCAGTAAATGAGAACAAGTAGGGGGTTTCATACTTGGTGGTTGAAGATATGAAGCACAAATGGTTTTGAATGGTAAAAGAACATGAAAATTGTGCATGATACATTGAGTACAATAATGAAATGAAGAGGAATCACAAAATTAAATTTGTGGGTTACTATTTCTTTGATCCCCTTAACCCTCTTGTGCATGCAATAAATTTTTAAGTGTCTGTGACCACGACAAAAGTCATATGGGACCTGTCATCACCTCTCATGTGCGGTCAGGGCATCTTTGTTCTGTGGCCAATCAATCCTCTGAGCAATGTGACAATTCAACTGCTTAGCCTGGCAATCACCTGGGACAGGCAGAACCTTCCACATGGGTCGCATACATTATGCCATTCTGATATTGTGTCATGATATATATATATATGAATATTGCAAGTTAATGCATATCACTTTTTCATAGAAGTGACAATGCAGGAAAAGCATTCGGGTAGTAGACATCGTATAGAGGTAAATGGTGTTCATTTTTTTTACATCATAAAACTGATTGAGCGTATGTTGATCCATCGTATAATAGTCACTGCCTGTACATAACTCTCTACAATTTTTTTTCCTTCTGCTACATGCACACACATCATTCATAGAGAATGAAGAAAAAAAATAAAAAATAAAAAAATCAGTGTCAAAAACAAAAAGGGAATAAACATGATACAGGTAACCCCATATAACAGATGTCCCATTGACAGCCGATTCATTTAACCGATGATTACATATAGGTGAAATATCCTACAAGTTTCGTTGATACGCCGGAGATCGGACGATCAGCAGAGCTGGCGTGGTGCGAATACTTGCCACCAGAGAGCTCTGCACACTGCCTCTGACTCATTCCTGCCATCTTTGCTCTTGTTTACACTTACTATGTGTCTCTGACTTCATGTTTTTTTCTTTATTTCTGACTTAGTGTGTTACTCAATCATACCTAAACATCCCAGTGATAGTTCCTCTTGTGCTGGGCAACTTCCTGTGATGTAATGTGGAGTAATAAGATATAATATGGCAAAATAAGAGTGGTTATGGGCCAGCAAAGAGTGGTAGAGACAAACTTGCTACCCTACACTGTCTACCATCCTCAACACAGGTAAATAAGTCTCAATTTATGTTTTACATTGCTTATTTAAGACTCACTATGCTTGCTTTATATTTCTGCTTTATTTTCTTGCTTGACGGTGTGCAGTAAGGAGATACAGTATACCCTTGATTTAAAGGAATCCGATATAACAAAATCTCGAACGGAGGAAATTTTTCAGTTGCTTTTCGCTCGATTTAGTGAACTAGTTTGCTAAATCAAGATTAATTCCATGATTACGCTCACACCTACAGACACACCTCAGACACATAATACAGTAAAACCTATGTCAGCCTATGCCAAATGTACTACAGTACAGTGAGTTAATAATAATAATAATAATAATAATTAACGGTTTATTGAAAAAGTTCTGCAGCCCGAAGGCTGAAAATATACATTGGACATAAATGACTTATTACATACATTGGTGGTTTAACAAAAGCCTTCATTAGAGAAAGGTAAAGGAACATACAGTGAACATACAGATTAATGTAGGTGTTGAACAGCAAAAACGTAGTGTAGTAACTCCCTCCCAGATGGTGTTAGGAGGGACCTCACGTGGTGTAGTAGTTCCCTCACAGATGGTGTTATGAGGGGCCTCACGTGGTGTAGTAATTCCCTCACAGATGGTGTTATGAGGGGCCTCACGTGGTGTAGTAATTCCCTCACAGATGATGTGTTATGAGTGAGGTGTGGTTCCAGGCCTTCCTATCAGAGACGGATTAACACATCGCTGGTAGTTGGGTCTCATAGGTCAGTATCACTGGGTACCTGACCACTGTGAAAGGTCAACTTGGGTACCACTGTTACTGTTGAGTTGTTCTCACTGACTTAAGCACTGTTCACCACTGTTCACCTCTGTTTAACACTGGTTCCATTTCTTTCCTAAATGAAATAGTAACTTCTGGCGTGAACTTGTTGATATTCGGTGGGGAGGAGGGTTCAGAGGGAGTTGGTATGGGCCAACATAATGTTGACCTGGCTGCTCCGAGAGGAGCCCCAGGTAAGCCTTGACCCTTCGTTATAACGCGGTTTGACAACGCGAATTTGCTCAACGCGATTTAGAATTGAGGAACGATATTTTTGAAACGCGAACTCGCTTGTTTCTAACGCGATTCCACTCGAACGGTTGTTGTGGCTTCAGTTCACGTCTCGACATCACATGTTCAATTGAGTTATGTGTTTTGTTTGTGAAGAATTGCAGAAATAATTTATGTAATATTTATGTATACAGTTAAACCACCTACAAGGTCCTACATTAACTAATTATTTTATACTGAAACTTACGCTTGTTGGATTAAAATGAAGATTACCGTATATTAAAATAAGAAAAATGTATTATAAACCAGTCTAACATACCGTAATAAACACAGCTGCTATTATCATCCCCCCACCCCCATTTGCCAGTGACAAGAAAGGAAAGTGTCCCTGATCTGACCGGCCAGGCTATTTTAGTCATCCTTGTGTTCGAGGTGGTCAGTAATGCATATCTGTATATTTACTGATCATAATACTCTCTTATAAATATTTCATTTAAAATTTATTTTTTGCAAAGAATATTCAGTAAATGACTGCATTAATTCTTGAAACTACCTACAGTGGTAAATTTAGGATATAAATAATGAACAGAAGTCACGTCATGGATTCGAGTTTGGTCCTAATCGATCACCATAAATGTAGCCTTTCAAACACGTATATATATAAATTAAAGAAAATACTTGCAGTATATTTAATATATTACAGTATATTTAATATATTACGTATATTATATATAAATAAATAAACAAATAAATTCAAATTCCTTTATCATCCTGTGTCATATACAGAAATACTTGAGTCCCTGAGCGAAGTACACAAAAAGAAAACGGACATCCTGGAGTGGATAGAGAACGGACATCTCTACTGGGGACTCAAACGCTTTTATGTTTTGTGGCCTAGCATAATATGAATATGTAATTATAATTATATATATATATATATATATATATATATATATATATATATATATATATATATATATATATATATATATATATATATATATATATATATATTGTAAATTTAAATAAAAGAGAAAAACTAAAACGAGTTTAAAGTGTTAAAGTGTACTGTACAGTGTTGTGGCTTGCCAATGTTTACAGTTCACGTTCGACATCACTTGTTCAATTGATTTGTGTTTTGTTTGTGAAGAAATACCTGTACAGTATATGTAAATTGTAAAATTTTAAATAGAGAAAACAAAATAAGTAGCGTTTAAAGTGTATCACATTGTGGCTTGGCGCTGGGTTATGCAGTGTTTACAGTTCACGTTCGACATCACATGTTCAATTGATTTACGGTTTTGTTTGTGAAGAATTGCAGAAATAATTTATGTAATATTTATGTATACAGTATACCTGTACAGTATATGAAAATGTAAGTATTAAATAAGAGAAAAAAAAAATACATAGCGTTTTAGACCGCCTTCTGTTTACCCACACTGTTTGAAACAGGTGAAGTTTTTATGTCCTCAGTGAATTCTGATTACTGTTTCTCCAATTTTGTGACTATGGAAAAGAAGAATATCTCTGGGAAGCACTCTGGTGATCGATTTGCTGATCGTAAAAGAAAGGCTATAACACTTGAAGAAAAGCTGATGTTTCATGACTCCTCAGCCTCAACATCACCTCCCCCATCATGTTATATTCATATTTTTCAAGGTAAAGTGTAACATTTATGTATGATTTCATTATTAGATATGAATGTAACATTTATTTAGACTGTGCTATCCTTTGTGTTAGGCTAATCACGAAATTTTTTTATTTGGAGTAATCTGCACCTAACTCTATTTTCTCCATAAGCCCTGTTATTTCTATTACACGAATTTCTATAACACGATGTTTTACAAGAACACTACTATCGCGTTATAGCAGAACTACCTGTATATGTATAAAAAGATAAATAATAATATAAAGCAATTACTGAAAATCAGAGAACACGGCGAGAAAATCACCCAGGCCTGGGTACAAAGGCTCCAGGCGTTATGTAAGATTGCATCATGTTTAGCCACATCCTCACATGGTTGGTGCGTGGTAAGACCAACCACTTGGGTAACGCTGGATTTTTCTGCTCTGAGTCTATTTATAATTGCTGTGCAAACATAAATATTTCTCTAGCTGTACACATACAATACAGTTAACCCTCAATTTACGCGGTCCCGCATTCCACGTTTCCACGTTAACGCGGTGCGCGCAGAACCTCCGTGCTTCCATTACGATACGTGAACTACATTACGGGCCTTTGTCGTATGACGCTATTTTGGTCGCCCCACCGCCAGCTGCCCTCTCCCTCACTTAGGCAGCGGTAGCGGTAGAGTTCGCGCAGTGTGTTGTCTTTGTTCGCGTTATCACTGACGTCATATGGCGTATCAGACCTGTGATTGGCCATGCATCCCCCTCTGCTGCTGGCTGTGGTGGCAAAAGTGTTATGGCATTACCGGAGGAGGGAGGGAGGAAAACGACGCTTGACCTGCTTGTGATTTTAAATACTCAAAGGCCACTCCGTGTGCTTGGCGCATCCATTGTTTAAGTAAAATTGCTTTCATGGTTCCCCACTAGAAAACCTTTCCTTACCTGCTGGACCCAGCAAACAAACCGAAGACCAGGTTGTAAGCTACGAGGTGAAGTATAGCATCATCCAAGAGTTGGAGAAAGGAACAAGGCAGGTTGATTTGGCGCGCCAGCATGGCGTGAACGAATCTA